CCGGGGAATTAATCAAAATTAAGTGAGTTTTTGCTTTAAAAAAAAGCTAAATGATCTGCCAAAGGGGTCAGAAAAATAATCATAATTCAAAAAGAAACAAAACATTATTTTTCTGACCCCATTGGCAGATCATTTTGCTTTTTTTTAAAGCAAAAACTCACTTAATTTGTATTTATTTCCCCATAAAACAAGACTTAAAATCTTGTCATTTTACAACTTTAGTAAATGCATCTTGATTTGAGAAATGTTTGATATTTTGACTGGAAACAAGACAAAAATACTAAGTAAGAAAAGCATTTTTTTGCAATGTAATTAAATTAAATTAATATCAGACTCTTCCCTCTCATAATTATGGAAGCTTGGTTCCAGCATGGAATAAAGAAAATATAGAGAATTGTAACTTTTTACACCACAAAATATGTTCTTCCTTAGTATTTTTGTCTAGTTTTCCAGTACAAATATCTAAACATTCTTAAATCAAGATACATTTACTGGAGAAGCAAAATGACTGACGATATTAAGTCTTGTTTTAATCCAAATTAACCGAGTTTATGCTTAAAACTAGAACAAATATCTGCCAGTGGTAAAAGAAAAATTACGTTGATTCAAAGGGAAAACTTTTTTCAGACCCCATTGGCAGATATTTGTTCTTGTTTTAAGTATAAACTTACTTGATCTTGTTTTCTGGAAAAATCATAAAAATTAATTTACTTGAGAAGCAAAATTACTTGGATATTAAGAATTTGTAGACATTTGTACTGGAAAACAAGACAAAAATACTGAGTAAGAAAATAATTTCTTGCAGTGCATAGTAATAATAATATCTAAAAATTCTTAAATCAAGATGCATTTACTAAAGTTGTAAAATGACATAAGATTTTAAGTCTTGTTTTCTAGGGAAATTAATCAAAATAAAGTGAGTTTTTGCTTTAAAAAAAGCAAAATGATCTGCCAATGGGGTCAGAAAAATAATCTAGTTTCTGTTTGAATTAACATTATTTTTCAGACCCCATTGGCAGATCATTTTGCTTTTTTTAAGCAAAAACTCTCTTAATTTTGATTAATTCCCCCGGAAAACAGGACAGGGCATTTTACTAATCTAGTGAATGCATCTTGATTTAATAATTTTTAGATATTTGGACAAAAATACTACGTAAGAAAAGCATTCTTTGCAGTGCATCTCACAATTCAGACTTCTGAGATTTAAAAGTCACATTACCTTTATTATTGCGTGTTGAAAACGAGCTTTCTTCACAACACTGACCTCTGACCTTGTTTCCAGCGGTCGTTCACGGTGACGGCACGTACTTCGCCAGAGAGGCCTGGTACTCCTGTCAGGACCAGTACTCCAGCGCCGACGACAAAGGGCTGAAGTACATGTACCGAGCGCGAGTGGTGACAGGCTCCCTGTGTAAGAGCCGGCACGGGATGAAGGAGCCGGATCCCATCAGGCCCGGTGACCCGCGGGCCGGCCTGCACGACTGCGCCGTGGACAGCCTACAGAACCCCTTCATCTTCGTGGTGTTCTGTGATGCCGGAGCGTATCCAGAGTACCTCATCACCTTCAAATCTATATAGTCTGCGCATCTCTATCTCACAAGCACACGGTCAAGTTTACAACAGAACACTGCAAAAACTGAAAACTAAGAAAGTAAAAAAAAAAAAACTTATTTCTAGAAAAAAAATGTCCTGTTTGGATAAAAAAACTCTTATAAAATGCATTGCACACTAGACTATAAATCTTAATTTAAGGAAATTGGTCTTCTTCAGTCTTGGCAAGAAGTGAATTTTAGCTCATTTTGAAGCAAGATGCACTTAAATCTAGGTAAAGTGTCCTAAAATTATGAATTTATTGGGATGTTTTAAGAATTTTCATCTATTTTCAGGTTATTGTGTATCTTTAACAAATTTAAATAAGGTGAATTTAAGGTTAAATATTCTAGTTTTAATGCAACCTTCACTAAAATTACAAGTGTAAAAAAATTACAAATAAAAAGTAAAAACTGCAATTTTAAGCATTTTTGTCTAGTTTTAAGATCCAATAGCATTTACAGGTGAAACTCGAAAAATTTGAATATGGTGCAAAAGTTCATTTATTTCAGTAATTCAACTTAAAAGGTGACACTAATATATTATATAGACTCATTACATGCAAAGTGAGATATTTCAAGCCTTTATTTGTTATAATTGTGATGATTATGGCTTACAGTTATGAAAACCTTTTCACAATATTCTAATTTTGAATTTGGGGTTTTCATAAGCTGTAATCCATAATCATCACAATTATAACAAATAAAGGCTTGAAATATCTCACTTTGCATGTAATGAGTCTATATTAGTTTCACCTTTTAAGTTGAATTACGGAAATAAATTAACTTTTGCACCATTTTTCTAATTTTTCGAGTTTCACCTGGATTAGTGACTAGATAATTTTGCTATTTTCAAGAGTTCTTATCAAGATTCTTATTTTGCGTGATTTTAGTGCACTTTACCTGGATTTAAGTTCATCCAGCATCCAGACAGATGCGAGAGTCTAGATGACTTTACACTGGCCTTGTCACAATGACAAACACATGAACAAATGTTTTCAGACGCAACTTTTATCACCAAAAAAAAAAAAAATCACTAAATTAATTGGTAACACCTTACAATACGTCAAATTTGTTAGCACTAGTTAATGCATTAACTAGCATGAACTAACAATAAGTGAGCAATAAATTTAGTATAGCATTTATTAATCTGTTTAATATTCATGTTTGTTCACAGTGCTGATGCCAACAATACAACTTTTGATCTTAATCTCAACATTTACAGATGGATTTTCAAGATTAATAAATCCTGTAGAAGTATTGTTCATTGTTAGTTCATGTTAGCTTATTAAATATTAACAGATACAACTTTTGCTCTTTAAAATGTAATAGTAATAGTAAATGTTAGGATTAACATCAGGATTAATAGATGCTTTAGAAGCATGTTAACTAATGTTGAAACCTATTGTAAACTGTTACCAGTTAATTACATGATAAGCTAATTTGAGTCTAAAGTCCAATTCTCACTTTTAACTATGACTTTTGCCTCATTAAACTCTTAATTACTGCTTATTAATAGTTGATAAGGTAGTTGTTGAGTTTAGGTATTGGGTGATTAAGGGATGTAGAATATGATCATGCAGAATAAGCCATTAATATGTGCTTTATAAGCACTAATAAACAGACAATATCCTAGTAATATGCATGATAATAAGCAACTAGTTCAAAGTGAGAATTAAACCGTAAACTAAAGTGTAATTTAATAATTGCATTCATCAATATTTACTGAATAAAGCTCCCAAATGAAGATAATTCAAAGACCATAATGTGACAGATGTGTAAATAAGTGAATATGGTGCCACTTTACAATGCATAAACTAACAATGAGCAATACAGCATTTATTAATCTTTCTTAATGGTATTAATAAAAATACGGCTGTTCATTGTTAGTTCATGTGAGCTCAGGTCCATTTAATAACAGATACAACTATAATAATGTATTAATAAATGATACCATTAGGATTAATACATGCTGTAAAAGTGTTTTTAACAACAACGACAACAAAAAACAATATTTTAAAGTGTTAAGCTGAATATATGATTATAATATATATAATTCAGATAATCAGTGACCTCTGATCCGTTCTCGTGTCTGGGTGTTTTTAAGACTTTGTGATCATCACTAAGTTTGCTATATTGAATCCCTCTAAGGTGAAATCGCAGTGTTTTAATCATTCTGAATGTGTGAAACATTGACTTAGTCTGTATGTGAACATTTTGAACAAAAATAAACATTTTTGTGATTTTCCGTGCCCTGTATTGTGATCTCTGTGAGATGATGCGTCATAACTGGAGAAACACAGAAACTGATGATACAGTGAAAGACGTGAAAGCAATGAAAACTCAAAATATGTTTACCTTTAATATGAATTACAAAACATGATCACACTGAGTACAACAGATAATAGTAACTGCAAATTATTGTCAGGTAATTAATCAATTTGAGTTTAACATTTTTACACATTAATGAATTTCTTAAGACAGTTCTACACTGTAAAAAAAAGAAAGAAAAGTTGCTGCCTTAAATTTTTAAGTACAAAGTACTTTCGACTTACATTTAAACTGACTTAAAAAATTAGTTGAATCTTGCATAAGAATTTTTTTTTACTTATTTTGATGAGTTAAAGCAATGGAAAAACAACTTATTGATCATACAGGTGAAACTCGAAAAATTTGAATATCGTTCAAAAGTTCATTTATTTCAGTAATTCAACTTAAAATGTGAAACTAATATATTATATAGACTCATTACATGCAAAGTGAGATATTCCAAGCCTTGTGATGATTATGGCTTACAGTTATGAAAACCTTTTCACAATATTCTAATTTTGAATTTGGGGTTTTCATAAGCTGTAAGCCATAATCATCAAAATTATAACAAATAAAGGCTTGAAATATCTCACTTTGCATGTAATGAGTCTATATAATTTATTAGTTTCACCTTTTAAGTTGAATTACTGAACTTTTGCACCATATTCTAATTTTTCAAGTTTCACCTGTGTGTTTTACAGTGCAGAGGATTAAACCACAACGAAACCAAAAGAGAAGAATGACTTCAGTCGAAGTGTTTCATTGAAAAACATCTTTTATTCTATGGTTAAAGGATCAAGTAGCATGTGTGCTGAACTAGTAGAAAGACATTCTATTGCCGAGGCATTTTATGATGCTGTGGGGGTCAAAACCGCCGTATAAAACGCCACAAAGCCCTCAGGAATTCACAGCTTTATTATTAAATACTGTAACTGTATTAAATCAACCCTGGCAATAACAGAACATCATCCGTGAACCAGTGTGTTTGTCAAGCCTGGAGTCGTCCTGGTTAAAGTAGTCGGCACGCAGAAGCGAGTTACGCTAACCTGATTTGATTTACCCATGCGGGATGGAGCGGGAGGGACGGGGAAATGGAAACCATAAAACCCACCGTGTTAAGACTGAAACACACTCAAATCAAACCGCTTGGGACCGCATCTCTACATCTGCTGCGTGGAGTTGCCGTTCCAGGTGTTGTTGTCGTCCTCGCTGTCTTCTTGAGTCCGTAGTCGGTATATTTTCCCGTCTTTCTTGAAGTCCTCCGGCCTCTTCTCAAGAACCCTCTTACGAACTGCATCTCTGGAGCGGAAAACGAGTAGAACTGAGTAGAAATTCCCTGACACATGATAGTCCAGTCATTTTATGATATTAAAGCTGCGAGCAGCATTTAGCGGGGTTCAAGCATTTAACGCCTTTAAGCACATAAGCATTAAAGACATTAAGTTTTATTTAGCAAGCATTTAACCACTGACATTATAGACGGAAAAGAGCTTTTATAGCCAATACAGGCAATTTACCATATGGTTTTCAAAGCTTTTTGACAGTTAAAGCGCCACCTATGGTCCGATATCCATACAATTTTGCATGCTTGATTACTATGTTATGTCACATATTCCCACCAATTTTTGTGAAGTTCTGAGTTTTCCTTTAGGATTTATAGACTTTTGAGTTTATTTTGTCACGCCCCTTTTCTAAATGACCTTGTTACAGCCACCCAATTGCAAAAGTTCAACTTTTTTTCTCGATAATTATTGATCTTGAGAGTCCAGAGAATTGTACTGCACTGGTTTGGTTCTGATCGGGCGAAAAACCAGGGACTAGTTCGCAAAAGTAGGTTTTGGACAAAATTCGACATAGCAGAATTTTTTTGCTGCCTAAATCGTAATTGGAGATATACATCTTGTCCTGCTTGAGCCAAGGATCACAGTGGTGTAAAAACCTTGAGTCTAAGTCAAACGGTCTAGGAGTTACGAGCAATTTCTTCCTTTTGGTTGCTGTAGCGCCACCTATGGGCCAATCAGGGTCATACTCTAATAGGTTCTCGTCTCCTGCACGATAAGTTTTACAAATCCTTACAATTACAATAGGGTTTCAGCACTTTGTGCTAGAACCCCTATAAAGGTTGATCAAATTGCAACAGAAGCAAACTCAACTGATTTTGTTTCCTCAATATGTCCTGAGTAAGAAAAAAAAGAAAAGCCCAGTAGAATCCCATTAGTGGAAAGTTTCGAAAAACACCCAAATATAGTCTATTTCATAAGCCTATTCATTCTGTTTCTCATGTGAATAGGGTAAAAATTTGAACCTTACCTTATTGTAAGATGTCAACAAGATTCTACAAGAGATTTTCACCTGGCTATTCCCAATGTTTAGATATGTTGTGTACTTTATGCAAATTAGCACATTATGCACCGTTTGTCTAGCCTGGTTAAAACCAGACCATTCTCAGTTGTAACTGAGTTATGGTCTGGCAAAGCGTCATAGACAAATCATTTCCAGAGGGGCGTCACCAACGGACGTCGCGGATAGACCTAAACCCAATCAGAGCGATGAAGGAGATGACGTATGCAGAGCGGCGGAGACACATCTCCGAGTGTTGTTCTTTGCTCGGTTTTTAACTAAAAGGAAACGTACAAACCGCTTAAAACAGACGCGATAGCTGATTCGAACGAGTGATGTTCGACGGCGGCATCCATCTTTGTAATGTAGGCTACAAAATCTGCTTCAAAATCCCAGCGCTGTCGTCATCGTGTAAAGCCCGCCCCAACGTTTCTGATTGGTGCCGCGATTTCGACGGATTGGAAATGGGCTTGAATGAGCTCTTTGCCAGACTAACTTTCAGAGCAAATCTAAATTTGCCAGAAGTTGTCTGGGTTTTCCCAGGCTACCGTTTGTCCATGTTAACAAACAATTTAAAAAAACTTGAAATACATTTTTTCTTTGTCTTGATGCAAGTAATCAACTCAGTAATTTTCATGGTGATATCTAAAGGTTAAAATTTTTACCCTATTCACATGAGAAACAGAATGAATAGGCTATATTTGGGTCTTTTTCGAAACTTTCCACTAATGGGATTCTTCGGGGCTTTTTTTTTTCCTTACTCAGGACATATTGAGGAGACAAAATCAGTTGAGTTTGCTTCTGTTGCAATTTGTTCTAGGTTGACCCCCATTTTGGCTTAAAATGACTGGACTGGACACACTTTAGCAAAATATTTGACAAAAAGGATTTAAATGCTGAAGCAATAGATCTAGTGTTATTTAGTTATATATCGAGATCCAGTGACATAACGGACTCTTTCATAGCACTACAATAGCTATGTTTCCATCCACCTATTTTTATGCAAATTTTGGGATATGGCATTAAAAATAAACATTGGATGGAAACACCAAGATGCGCAATAAAGTCTAAAAATGTGCACAGAAAGCATGCACTCAATTGACGCAGATCCTTTTGTGTATCTGATAAGATGACGTGCATAAACTACAATGGAAACACTTTTACCAAATAAAACCCTGTAGCCTCAGTAGAGCCTGTGATTGGATAACAGGACTAACCACATCGCAGCATTTCGAATGTTGGTTTGGTGGTTAGGAAAAGTCTGAGTCAAAGTCTGTCATCAGAATGATTTGGTTTAATTTAATAAGCGTCTCACACGATTGTGTTCCAGAACACCAGCATCAGATTTTGTTCACTTGAACACATAGGACATATTATGCCCTTTTTCAAAGTTTTGTTTTTTGGGCTCTACTAGAACAGGTTTTCCTGCTTGAATGTTGATTATTTTCAACATTAGACACTGATATAGAGAATGAAGAAAACGATGTGCTTTGTAACTTCGCAGAGCTTTTTCATGCTCAAACAGCAACATTACACTACAGCAGTGTTGTGCCTGAACGCGTTCATTGAACGATAGTTCATATTTTGGGCGAACGTGAACTGAACGTACAGGTCCTTCTCAAAAAATTAGCATATTGTGATAAAGTTCATTATTTTCCATAATGTAATGATAAAAATCAAACTTTCATATATTTTAGATTCATTGCACACCAACTGAAATATTTCAGGTCTTTTATTGTTTTAATACGGATGATTTTGGCATACAGCTCATGAAAACCCAAAATTCCTGTCTCAAAAAATTAGCATATCATGAAAAGGGTCTCTAAACGAGCCATTAACCTAATCATCTGAATCAACTAATTAACTCTAAACACCTGCAAAAGATTCCTAAGGCTTTAAAAACTCCCAGCCTGTTTCATTACTCAAAACCGCAATCATGGGTAAGACTGCCGACCTGACTGCTGTCCAGAAGGCCATCATTGACACCCTCAAGCAAGAGGGTAAGACAGAAAGAAATTTCTGAACAAATAGGCTGTTCCCAGAGTGCTGTATCAAGGCACCTCAGTGGGAAGTCTGTGGGAAGGAAAAAGTGTGGCAAAAAACGCTGCACAACGAGAAGAGGTGACCGGACCCTGAGGAAGATTGTGGAGAAGGACCGATTCCAGACCTTGGGGGACCTGCGGAAGCAGTGGACTGAGTCTGGAGTAGAAACATCCAGAGCCACCGTGCACAGGCGTGTGCAGGACATGGGCTACAGGTGCCGCATTCCCCAGGTCAAGCCACTTCTGAACCAGAAACAGCGGCAGAAGCGCCTGACCTGGGCTACAGAGAAGCAGCACTGGACTGTTGCTCAGTTTTGCATGTCATTCGGAAATCAAGGTGCCAGAGTCTGGAGGAAGACTGGGGAGAAGGAAATGCCAAAATGCCTGAAGTCCAGTGTCAAGTACCCACAGTCAGTGATGGTCTGGGGTGCCATGTCAGCTTGAGAGTTGAGCGGCCTTAAGCTCATCCAGAGTGTTGGGTCTTGCGTCTCTCAACTTAATATGTAGCGAAAAAACACCCAATCTGGCAACACCAGCCACCAGTGTCGCACCGCCGCACGCGTCATCAAAACTAAAAGCAGTATGAAGCCGACAAAAGCATCGAGGACGCGTCGTATGATCATTTACACGAGTTTTATGACCAGGTCGGTGAGAATGGGAAAAATCGTACATTACTACATTTTAGGGCTGCAACTAACGATTATTTTGATAATCGATTAATCGGACGATTAATCAGATAAAAAATTCAATTAGATTTTTTGTTTATTATGACTAAATAAAACCCGGTTACACTTTATTTTAAGGTGTCCTTGTTACAGTGTAATTATATATTTAAGTACAGAGTAATATTAAGGAACTACATGTACTTACTTTAGGAATAGGGTAGGATTAGGATAAGGGTTAGTTGCATGTAATTATGCATAATTTACTGTTATTACTACAGTAAGTACATGTAACATATGTAACAAGGACACCGTAAAATAAAGTGTTACCTAAAACCCTAAATTAGGATATTTATGTGTAAAAGTGTACTTTAAAAAGTGCAAAAGCCACACATTGAGTTTTACAAATATCAATATTTGCATTGTTTTTAATGATAATTGCTGATGGCAAGTTGACAACCATGATTATTAAAAAAAAAAAAAAACATTTATCCAACATATTGTTTTAACACAATTTTTGTTAAAACAAATTTACAGACATGTTGTTCAGATGTGAAGATATAAACTAAAAACATCTCAAATATATAATTCATTTAATTTTTATTTAAAATTAATTGAATTATAAGGATAATTTGTAAAAAAAAAAATATATAGAAAGACTGAAAACAAGCGTGTAAACATAGAGCCGCAGTAGATCGCGTTTGAAAAACAATTAAAACTTAATAGTAGACAAATGCTATATAAAGAGAACGTAATGGAAGTACGCAGCAAGCTAACAGGCTTTATTAAAAAGACAGGAAAAATGATGCATTAGTGCACAAACATTCGCTGAAAACCACTGAGTACAGTGACTAAAAAACAATAATTTACTGCTGCTGTTATTAACTGCCTTTATATTTAGTGCTTTGCTTTGTAAAGACCGTTTTGATTTAATATTTCTGCGGTAGCACTATTTTAATCCATCACTTATGTTGCGAGCGAACTGATTGCGCAACCTGATGCTCGAGACGCAAAATACAGACATCCCAAGTCTCCCGGAAGTTCTGGAAGTCACCCGCATATTGATAGCGGCTCGCAAATTAGTTCAAACTCCCGGGATTTGAGCGCGCAAGCAAGAGCGCGCATGCGAGACAGAAGAGACTGTGCTCCAAACCGTGTAGCGCGAGCGCGCGGCAGAGCAACGGAGGGAGAGAGACCTTGCGTGTGTGCCTCATGAAGCGCGTGTAAGACAGAGAGCATCCTGATTGGCCTGTTTCAACCAATCACCAGTAAACGCTCCCCGTGACGTAAGCAGACCAACTAATCGATAATGACATTCGTTGACAACGATTTTCATAATCGATTATTATCGATTTTATCGATTAGTTGTTGCAGCCCTACTACATTTCTGTGCAAACTTTACCCGCCGATAAAATAATTGCTGTCTGTGGTTGTATATGGGCTGTGGCAATAAAAAAAAAAAAAAGAAAATAGCTCACAGCAACATATGGAAAAAAAGAACTATGAACTAGTTAATTTTTGGAAATGTGAACTTAGTTCAAAATTGTGAAGTATGAACTATGAACTGAACTAGTTCATTTTAAAATTTGTGAACTGAACTTTGAACTAGTTCATGTAGAAAGTGAACTTTCCCAACACTGCACTACAGGAATTTGAACATAAAAGGTCCTCATTAACACATCTAGCGAAGCCCACAGACGCACCTCTTTGGTTCCGCGCCCGCGCCGGAGTCGTGTGTGTTGTGTGTGTGCTGGTTGTGGCCGGCTGTGGGAGGGGGGGCGGCGCTGAACAGGAAGCCTCTGATGATCCTCCAGACGGCCAGCAGTGGGTAGAGGAGCGAGCCCAGCAGAGCCCACACGCCTCCTCCTGCGGACGAGCGCACCACAGCGCTGGACGGCCGGCTCGACTGCTGACGGACCAATCACAGGACAGCATTTACAGGGATTCACTTAGCAGACGCTTGTATTCAAAGCTACTTACAAATGAGAACAGTAGAAGCAAACTATTATTTTACTATTTCATAATTCAGTGTGTGTGAGAGAGTGTGTGAGAGAGTGCGTGTGTGTGTGTGTGTGAGAGAGAGTGCATGTGAGAGCGTGTGTGCGTGTGAGTGTGTGCGTGTGAGTGTATGCTTGTGTGTGTCTCACAGGCAGCAGGACGATGGATGCACTGGGTGTGTGTGTGTGTGTGTGTGTGTCTGTCTCACAGGCAGCAGGACGATGGATGCACTGGGTGTGTGTGTGTGTGTGTGTCTCACAGGCAGCAGGACGATGGATGCGCTGGGTGTGTGTGTGTGTGTGTGTGTGTCTCTCACAGGCAGCAGGACGATGGATGCACTGGGTGTGTGTGTGTGTGTGTGTGTGTGTGTGTGTCTCTCACAGGCAGCAGGACGATGGATGCACTGGGTGTGTGTGTGTGTGTGTGTGTCTCACAGGCAGCAGGACGATGGATGCGCTGGGTGTGTGTGTGTGTGTGTGTGTGTCTCTCACAGGCAGCAGGACGATGGATGCACTGGGTGTGTGTGTGTGTGTGTGTCTCACAGGCAGCAGGACGATGGATGCACTGGGTGTGTGTGTGTGTGTGTCTCTCACAGGCAGCAGGACGATGGATGCGCTGGGTGTGTGTGTGTGTGTGTGTGTGTGTGTGTGTGTCTCTCACAGGCAGCAGGACGATGGATGCGCTGGGTGTGTGTGTGTGTGTGTGTGTCTCTCACAGGCAGCAGGACGATGGATGCACTGGGTGTGTGTGTGTGTGTGTCTGTCTCACAGGCAGCAGGACGATGGATGCACTGGGTGTGTGTGTGTGTGTGTGTGTGTGTGTCTCACAGGCAGCAGGACGATGGATGCACTGGGTGTGTGTGTGTGTGTGTGTGTCTGTCTCACAGGCAGCAGGACGATGGATGCACTGGGTGTGTGTGTGTGTGTGTGTGTGTGTGTGTGTGTGTGTGTGTCTGTGTCTCTCACAGGCAGCAGGACGATGGATGCGCTGGGTGTGTGTGTGTGTGTGTGTGTGTGTGTGTCTCTCACAGGCAGCAGGACGATGTGTGTGTGTGTGTGTGTGTGTGTGTGTGTGTGTGTGTGTGTCTCTCACAGGCAGCAGGACGATGGATGCGCTGGGTGTGTGTGTGTGTGTGTGTGTGTGTGTGTCTCACAGGCAGCAGGACGATGGATGCACTGGGTGTGTGTGTGTGTGTGTGTGTCTGTCTCACAGGCAGCAGGACGATGGATGCACTGGGTGTGTGTGTGTGTGTGTGTGTGTGTGTGTGTGTGTGTGTGTGTGTGTGTGTGTGTCTGTGTCTCTCACAGGCAGCAGGACGATGGATGCGCTGGGTGTGTGTGTGTGTGTGTGTGTGTGTGTGTGTGTCTCTCACAGGCAGCAGGACGATGTGTGTGTGTGTGTGTGTGTGTGTGTGTGTGTGTGTGTCTCTCACAGGCAGCAGGACGATGGATGCGCTGGGTGTGTGTGTGTGTGTGTGTGTCTCTCACAGGCAGCAGGACGATGGATGCGCTGGGTGTGTGTGTGTGTGTGTGTGTGTGTGTCTCTCACAGGCAGCAGGACGATGGATGCGCTGGGTGTGTGCGTGTGTGTGTGTGTGTGTGTGTGTGTCTCTCACAGGCAGCAGGACGATGGATGCGCTGGGTGTGTGTGTGTGTGTGTGTGTGTCTCTCACAGGCAGCAGGACGATGGATGCACTGGGTGTGTGTGTGTGTGTGTGTGTCTGTCTCACAGGCAGCAGGACGATGGATGCACTGGGTGTGTGTGTGTGTGTGTGTGTGTGTGTGTGTGTGTGTGTGTGTGTGTGTGTGTCTCACAGGCAGCAGGACGATGGATGCACTGGGTGTGTGTGTGTGTGTGTGTCTCACAGGCAGCAGGACGATGGATGCACTGTGTGTGTGTGTGTGTGTGTGTGTCTGTCTCACAGGCAGCAGGACGATGGATGCACTGGGTGTGTGTGTGTGTGTGTGTGTGTGTGTCTGTGTCTCTCACAGGCAGCAGGACGATGGATGCGCTGGGTGTGTGTGTGTGTGTGTGTGTGTGTGTGTGTGTGTGTGTGTCTCACAGGCAGCAGGACGATGGATGCACTGTGTGTGTGTGTGTGTGTGTGTGTCTGTCTCACAGGCAGCAGGACGATGGATGCACTGGGTGTGTGTGTGTGTGTGTGTGTGTGTGTCTGTGTCTCTCACAGGCAGCAGGACGATGGATGCGCTGGGTGTGTGTGTGTGTGTGTGTGTGTGTGTGTGTGTGTGTGTGTGTGTCTCTCACAGGCAGCAGGACGATGTGTGTGTGTGTGTGTGTGTGTGTGTGTGTGTGTGTCTCTCACAGGCAGCAGGACGATGGATGCGCTGGGTGTGTGTGTGTGTGTGTGTGTCTCTCACAGGCAGCAGGACGATGGATGCGCTGGGTGTGTGTGTGTGTGTGTGTGTGTCTCTCACAGGCAGCAGGACGATGGATGCGCTGGGTGTGTGTGTGTGTGTGTGTGTGTGTCTCACAGGCAGCAGGACGATGGATGCGCTGGGTGTGTGTGTGTGTGTGTGTGTCTCTCACAGGCAGCAGGACGATGGATGCGCTGGGTGTGTGTGTGTGTGTGTGTGTGTCTCTCACAGGCAGCAGGACGATGGATGCGCTGGGTGTGTGTGTGTGTGTGTGTCTCACAGGCAGCAGGACGATGGATGCGCTGGGTGTGTGTGTGTGTGTGTGTGTCTCTCACAGGCAGCAGGACGATGGATGCGCTGGGTGTGTGTGTGTGTGTGTGTGTGTGTGTGTCTCACAGGCAGCAGGACGATGGATGCGCTGGGTGTGTGTGTGTGTGTGTGTGTGTCTCTCACAGGCAGCAGGACGATGGATGCGCTGGGTGTGTGTGTGTGTGTGTGTGTGTCTCTCACAGGCAGCAGGACGATGGATGCGCTGGGTGTGTGTGTGTGTGTGTGTGTCTCTCACAGGCAGCAGGACGATGGATGCGCTGGGTGTGTGTGTGTGTGTGTGTGTCTCTCACAGGCAGCAGGACGATGGATGCGCTGGGTGTGTGTGTGTGTGTGTCTCTCACAGGCAGCAGGACGATGGATGCGCTGGGTGTGTGTGTGTGTGTGTGTGTGTCTCTCACAGGCAGCAGGACGATGGATGCGCTGGGTGTGTGTGTGTGTGTGTGTGTCTCACAGGCAGCAGGACGATGGATGCGCTGGGTGTGTGTGTGTGTGTGTGTGTGTGTGTCTCACAGGCAGCAGGACGATGGATGCGCTGTGTGTGTGTGTGTGTGTCTCTCACAGGCAGCAGGACGATGGATGCGATGGGTGTGTGTGTGTGTGTGTGTGTGTGTCTCTCAAAGGCAGCAGGACGATGGATGCGCTGGGTGTGTGTGTGTGTGTCTCTCACAGGCAGCAGGACGATGGATGCGATGGGTGTGTGTGTGTGTGTGTGTGTGTGTCTCTCACAGGCAGCAGGACGATGGATGTGATGGGTGGGTGTGTGTGTGTGTGTGTGTGTGTGTGTGTGTGTGTGTGTGTCTCTCAAAGGCAGCAGGACGATGGATGCGCTGGGTGTGTGTGTGTGTGTGTGTGTGTGTCTCTCACAGGCAGCAGGACGATGGATGCGCTGGGTGTGTGTGTGTGTGTGTGTGTGTGTCTCTCACAGGCAGCAGGACGATGGATGCGCTGGGTGTGTGTGTGTGTGTGTGTGTGTGTCTCTCACAGGCAGCAGGACGATGGATGCGATGGGTGTGTGTGTGTGTGTGTGTGTGTGTGTGTGTGTCTCTCAAAGGCAGCAGGACGATGGATGCGCTGGGTGTGTGTGTGTGTGTGTGTGTGTGTGTCTCACAGGCAGCAGGACGATGGATGCGCTGTGTGTGTGTGTGTGTGTCTCTCACAGGCAGCAGGACGATGGATGCACTGGGTGTGTGTGTGTGTGTGTGTGTGTGTCTCTCACAGGCAGCAGGACGATGGATGCGATGGGTGTGTGTGTGTGTGTGTGTGTGTGTGTGTCTCACAGGCAGCAGGACGATGGATGCGCTGGGTGTGTGTGTGTGTGTGTGTGTGTGTGTCTCACAGGCAGCAGGACGATGGATGCGCTGGGTGTGTGTGTGTGTGTGTGTGTGTCTCTCACAGGCAGCAGGACGATGGATGCGCTGGGTGTGTGTGTGTGTGTGTGTGTGTGTGTGTCTCTCACAGGCAGCAGGACGATGGATGCGCTGGGTGTGTGTGTGTGTGTGTGTGTGTGTGTGTGTCTCTCACAGGCAGCAGGACAATGGATGCGCTGGGTGTGTGTGTGTGTGTCTCACAGGCAGCAGGACGATGGATGCGCTGGGTGTGTGTGTGTCTCACAGGCAGCAGGACGATGGATGCGCTGGGTGTGTGTGTGTGTGTGTGTCTCTCACAGGCAGCAGGACGATGGATGCGCTGGGTGTGTGTGTGTGTGTGTGTGTGTGTGTGTGTCTCTCTCACAGGCAGCAGGACGATGGATGCGCTGGGTGTGTGTGTGTGTGTGTGTCTCTCACAGGCAGCAGGACGATGGATGCGCTGTGTGTGTGTGTGTGTGTGTGTGTGTGTGTGTGTGTGTGTGTGTGTGTCTCTCTCACAGGCAGCAGGACGATGGATGCGCTGGGTGTGTGTGTGTGTGTGTCTCTCACAGGAAGCAGGACGATGGATGCGCTGGGTGTGTGTGTGTGTGTGTGTGTGTGTGTGTGTGTGTCTCTCACAGGCAGCAGGACGATGGATGCGCTGGGTGTGTGTGTGTGTGTGTGTGTGTCTCTCACAGGCAGCAGGACGATGGATGCGCTGGGTGTGTGTGTGTGTGTGTGTGTGTGTCTCTCACAGGCAGCAGGACGATGGATGCGCTGGGTGTGTGTGTGTGTGTGTGTGTGTGTGTCTCTCACAGGCAGCAGGACGATGGATGCGCTGGGTGTGGGTGTGTGTGTGTGTGTGTGTGTCTCTCACAGGCAGCAGGACGATGGATGCGCTGGGTGTGTGTGTGTGTGTGTCTCTCACAGGCAGCAGGACGATGGATGTGCTGGGTGTGTGTGTGTGTGTGTGTGTGTGTGTGTGTGTCTCTCACAGGCAGCAGGACGATGGATGTGCTGGGTGTGTGTGTGTGTGTGTGTGTGTGTCTCTCACAGGCAGCAGGACGATGGATGCGCTGGGTGTGTGTGTGTGTGTGTCTCTCACAGGCAGCAGGACGATGGATGCGCTGGGTGTGTGTGTGTGTGTCTCTCACAGGCAGCAGGACGATGGATGCGCTGGGTGTGTGTGTGTGTGTGTGTGTGTGTGTGTCTCTCACAGGCAGCAGGACGATGGATGCGCTGGGTGTGTGTGTGTGTGTGTGTGTGTGTGTCTCTCACAGGCAGCAGGACGATGGATGCGCTGGGTGTGTGTGTGTGTGTGTGTGTGTGTGTCTCTCACAGGCAGCAGGACGATGGATGCGCTGGGTGTGTGTGTGTGTGTGTGTGTGTCTCTCACAGGCAGCAGGACGATGGATGCGCTGGGTGTGTGTGTGTGTGTGTGTGTGTGTGTGTGTCTCTCACAGGCAGCAGGACGATGGATGCGCTGGGTGTGTGTGTGTGTGTGTGTGTGTGTGTGTGTGTGTCTCTCACAGGCAGCAGGACGATGGATGCGCTGGGTGTGTGTGTGTCTCTCACAGGCAGCAGGACGATGTGTGTGTGTGTGTGTGTGTGTGTGTCTCTCACAGGCAGCAGGACGATGTGTGTGTGTGTGTGTGTGTCTCTCACAGGCAGCAGGACGATGGATGCGCTGGGTGTGTGTGTGTGTGTGTGTGTGTCTCTCAGGCAGCAGGACGATGGATGCGCTGGGTGTGTGTGTGTGTGTGTGTGTGTGTGTGTCTCTCACAGGCAGCAGGACGATGGATGCGCTGGGTGTGTGTGTGTGTGTGTGTGTGTGTGTCTCTCACAGGCAGCAGGACGATGGATGCGCTGGGTGTGTGTGTGTGTGTGTGTGTGTGTGTGTGTCTCTCACAGGCAGCAGGACGATGGATGCGCTGGGTGTGTGTGTGTGTGTGTGTGTGTCTCTCACAGGCAGCAGGACGATGGATGTGCTGGGTGTGTGTGTGTGTGTGTGTCTCTCACAGGCAGCAGGACGATGGATGCGCTGGGTGTGTGTGTGTGTGTGTGTGTGTGTCTCTCACAGGCAGCAGGACGATGGATGCGCTGGGTGTGTGTGTGTGTGTGTGTGTCTCTCACAGGCAGCAGGACGATGGATGCGCTGGGTGTGTGTGTGTGTGTGTGTCTCTCACAGGCAGCAGGACGATGGATGCGCTGGGTGTGTGTGTGTGTGTGTGTGTGTGTCTCTCACAGGCAGCAGGACGATGGATGCGCTGGGTGTGTGTGTGTGTGTGTGTGTGTGTGTGTGTGTGTGTCTCTCACAGGCAGCAGGACGATGGATGCGCTGGGTGTGTGTGTGTGTGTGTGTGTGTCTCTCACAGGCAGCAGGACGATGGATGCGCTGGGTGTGTGTGTGTGTGTGTGTGTGTGTGTGTCTCTCACAGGCAGCAGGACGATGGATGCGCTGGGTGTGTGTGTGTGTGTGTGTGTGTGTGTGTGTCTCTCACAGGCAGCAGGACGATGGATGTGCTGGGTGTGTGTGTGTGTGTGTCTCTCACAGGCAGCAGGACGATGGATGCGCTGGGTGTGTGTGTGTGTGTGTGTGTGTGTGTGTGTGTGTCTCTCACAGGCAGCAGGACGATGGATGCGCTGGGTGTGTGTGTGTGTGTGTGTGTCTCTCACAGGCAGCAGGACGATGGATGCGCTGGGTGTGTGTGTGTGTGTGTGTGTGTGTGTGTGTGTGTGTGTGTGTGTGTGTCTCTCACAGGCAGCAGGACGATGGATGCGCTGGGTGTGTGTGTGTGTGTGTGTGTGTGTGTCTCTCACAGGCAGCAGGACGATGGATGCGCTGGGTGTGTGTGTGTGTGTGTGTGTGTGTGTGTGTGTCTCTCACAGGCAGCAGGACGATGGATGCGCTGGGTGTGTGTGTGTGTGTGTGTGTGTCTCTCACAGGCAGCAGGACGATGGATGCGCTGGGTGTGAGTGTGTGTGTGTGTCTCTCACAGGCAGCAGGACGATGGATGCGCTGGGTGTGTGTGTGTGTGTGTGTGTGTCTCACAGGCAGCAGGACGATGGATGCGCTGGGTGTGTGTGTGTGTGTGTGTGTCTCACAGGCAGCAGGACGATGGATGCGCTGGGTGTGAGTGTGTGTGTGTGTCTCACAGGCAGCAGGACGATGGATGCGCTGGGTGTGTGTGTGTGTGTGTGTGTGTCTCACAGGCAGCAGGACGATGGATGCGCTGGGTGTGAGTGTGTGTGTGTGTCTCACAGGCAGCAGGACGATGGATGTGCTGGGTGTGTGTGTGTGTGTGTGTGTGTGTGTGTGTGTCTCTCACAGGCAGCAGGACGATGGATGCGCTGGGTGTGTGTGTGTGTGTGTGTGTCTCACAGGCAGCAGGACGATGGATGCGCTGGGTGTGTGTGTGTGTGTGTGTGTCTCACAGGCAGCAGGACGATGGATGCGCTGGGTGTGAGCTCCAGCTCCAGCAGAGATTTCTCCAGGTCTTCAGCTGTGAACTCTCTTCTGGGAAACATGGTGGCCAGTGAGAACTGCCCGTATCTGTTCCCGACCTCCTGCAGGAACACACGACTCACGACAGTCACTCGACTCGCAGGTGTTCAGCTCGACGCACACACTCACAGTGCCAAACAAACACACTTTTGACTTTGCTAAACATTTTTACTAAACATTTCATCAGATTTAATTTTTACATTCAAGTTGCATTTACATTCAAAATGCATCTCAATGGAGGAAAATACTGGCTTTGGATAAAAGCGTCTGCTAAATGAATAAATGTGATGTAAATGAAAACACTACTAACAGGAAATGAGAAGAAGAGAGCCTCTATTGAGGTTTTGCTAATGTATCAGAGCGAAAACTCAGAGCACTTTAAACCCGGTCAACACAATCATCAGATTCACAGGACATTCATCACACACACACACACACACACACACACACTGACCTGAGCAGCGAACTGTCGGACCTCCTGCAGACGCGCCTCTGAGGGAAACTGGTTAGTGAAGGACGAGCCGTCAGGCAGACGAAACTGAATCCTGGCGACCGCACTGAGAAAACATCATCATCAACATCTTCATCATCATCATCATCACTCATCTAACGCCAACACTGACGTCCTGTTACACTGCGAAAACCATTTCCTGTTTTCCAGTACAAATATCTAAACATTCTTAAATCAAGATATATTTACTGGAGAAGCAAAATGACTGAAGATTGTAACTCCAAATGTGTAAAAATGAAATGAGTTTATGTTTAAAGCAAAAACAAATATCTGTGTAAAGTTAATAAATTATAGAAATCAGTTTAATTCAGCTATAAGCAGCTCTATAGAAGACAAGTGCCATTCTTCAGTTCAGTGTTTAGCTCATATATCAATTAAATTTGACAGTTTATTTAAAAATACTATTATTTTATGCTTACTACTCTTTCATTATTTTTCTACTACTATATTCTTTTATGCCTATTTTGTTAAACTGTAAAGGATTTATGCATATTTATAAGGTAGGATATGATACACTGAATTTAATTTACTCAGATGTTTAAAAATCACAGTGACCAGATTTATTTATTAGCTACGCACACGGCAAAACTATTTTGAATGCGCACAAGATTTTCTTTCTTATGAATTTGTTCTGGAAAACAAGACCTTCTTAAATCAATATTTACTAAAATGTGTCAAAATGAAGCGAGTTTTCTCGGCAAATATCTGCCAACGGGGTCAGAAACAATACATAATTTAAAAGAAAAGCAAGATTATTTTTATTTTATTGCTTTTAAGCATAAACTCACTTCATTTTTGATACATTATTTGAATATCTTCAGTCATTTTTCTTCTCCAGTAAATGTAATGTTAGTGTTTAGATATTTGTACTGGAAAACAAAACAGAAATACTGAGGAAGAACTTTTTTTTTTTTTTTGCAGTTCAGAGAAAAAAGGCAGAAACTCTTTTAACAGCTTCTGTCCAGAATTTTCATCATGCATTACAGCACTGAGAATTCTGGAGAGTAAACGATGTCATCCGTCACAAACATTCTAAAGGTTCTAAAAACAGGCTTGGCTGTGATGTCACCTTCTCTCTCTCTGTGTGGCGTCTCTCTTGGCCTCGTGTTCAGCGGCTCTGGCTTGCAGCGCTGCTAGTCTGGTCGCCTCTGTGTCCTGCTGGTTCTGAGCGTAACGGGCCGCTCGGTCCGCACGGTCCTGTGGGGATCACACCAGAGTCAAGCGTGTGTGATGATGTGTGTGTGTGCAACAGCACAACTCGTGTAGGAACCAGATCTCCTAGCGGACGAATGACACTGTCTGACCTCGGTCTGTTTGTCTAAGAGCAGAAAGACGCTCGAGGTCGTGTTGTACAGCGAGTCGCTTCACATCCTTCAGACATCACTGTATAATATTGGTAAAAATATTGATTATTTTGATGAACCGATAGTGATTCTTAAATCCCAAGAATGGATCTTTTTGAACAAAATGTTTTGTGCTTTGTTTCTTTTGATATGAAACAAAGTCTCAGCTTTCAAATTCTTTGTTTTATTAAGAAATTCAAACAATAAAATGCGCTTTTGTGGCTCTTTAATGTTATGTGAACCGATCATCTCTCCCTCTTTACTACTAGTTACAGCTCTAAACAAACATGAATGAACATCAGAAGGAATATTGAAATATAAACATTAAGTTGTTTCAACCGTGGAAAGATGTCAATAAAACAGCGTATGAGCAATATGTTATGTAACGTTACATTTACTTCAGAAAAGTCAATAAATCGCGAGAAAAATAATCGCGCTAGAGAAGCATTTTGATAAATATATGCACTATTATACATTCATTATATTATTACTAGTGCTGGGCTACGATTAATCACATCCAAAATAAAAGTTTGTGTTTACATAATATATATGTGTACTGTGTATAATTATTTTGTATATTAATACACACATGCATATATATATTTAAGAAATATTTGCATGTATATATATATATATATAATAATATATATTATATATTAATATTTTATATATAAATAACAAATATTTCTTAACTATATTCATGCATGTGTGTATTAATATACAAAATAATTATACACAGTACACACACATATATTATGTAAACACAAACTTTTATTTTGGATGCGATTTATCGTTGCCCAGCACTAATAATTACTTAACCTGTTCTGCAATATTTGATGTATTTTTGAATAAATCCATCATGAAATGTTTATATTTCAAAAAACTAAGTGGAGTAGATACATAATTATGTTATTAAAAAGTTATTACTATTATTATGAAAACTGGCTTACAAATCAGTTAACTTTAAAGGGGTCATATAATGGTACATGCACTTTTACAAGTTGATTATACTGAAATGTGTGTTGGCAGTGCCTGTACACAACCATCATATAATGATAAAAATACATCCAGTCTTTTTGTTTTAATCTCCTTATATGTCCCTTATATTCCCCTGCCTCAAATCAAGCAATTCGAGCCTGTGACGTCACACGCTCGGAAGCCCCTCCCACGATTGTTGATTGACAGCATCGTTTCAACACAGACCCGCCCTCGCTCGTCCTGTCAATCATAGTCCGCGCGGACCGGCGCGGTCATTGTTGATATGCTGGAGCTGTCTATGAGCAGAATGGCGTCTAAGCGATTGTGGTGTTCTGTTCTTGGGTGTAATAACGAACACAGTCATTTTAATGTTCCTAAATCCGAACCGCTGAAGACGCAGTGGCTGAGTTCGTTTTCGAAGGGAATATTCCCCACGAGCAACGTCAATGCTCTCATGTTTGCGCGAATCATTTCTCACCAGACTGCTTTATAAACGAGGGTCAGTATAAAGCTGGTTTTGCTAAGAAGCTGCTCCTGAATAAAGGATCGGTACCAGATATTCGTGTTCCTGCTGAACCTCTAGAACAACTGAAGTGAGTGTAATGTTTTATTAAACTTTATATTAATATATTAATCTTTGCAAATCGCTAGCTGCACGCTTCACAATGAATGCGTCTAAGGTTTACACTTAGGGTACATTACTGCATGTTTTCTATGTACGACGTTCTCAATATAATTCATAATCCCACGTTTATAATGAACAACGCGTTATGGTTATTGTGTTATTGTGTTACAAACGTGTACACACAGAACGGAGAGGCGGAGTGAGCAAAACTCATTATCATTTAAAGTCATATGCACTGAAACGGCGTGCTGAAAACAGAGCTGTTTTTGACCAGGTAAAATAAGTGTTTTCTTACAATACTAATTAAAGTATATTACAAACTTTTAATTTAGACCCTAAAGAATCATATTAGCTTGTACAAAAATGGCATTATATGACCACTTTAACAAGTTTATGTTTCTCCTTGAGAAAGATTAACACGTACTGTACCAGATATACAGTATATCCAAATGAATCAAATCACAAGCTTGTGAATGGAATAATCTGGTTTACTGTACAACACGAGAAAGATGGCGTGATACCAGAGCGATCTGCTGCTTGACTCGTTCTCTGGCCGCTTTCTCCTCCGCCTTCTCTCGATTCCTCTCATCCAGGAGGCGTTTGGTTTTCTCGTCCTCCTGCTTCTTCTTGTAGTCCAGGACCTCCTTCCCCATCTTACGCCTCTCCACCTCCTTCTTCAGCTCATTCTGCCCGTGTGAGAGGAACATGGCGTCATTCACGGCATTCAATGGACGTTCAGAGTGTGTTAAGAGAGAATTACCTCTTCTTCTGCTTTCTTTTTCTGCTCACGTCTTTCCTCCAGCTTCTTCGTTAACCTACATAAGAAAATGAATGAAAAAAGAAAACATTATGAAGAAAACGCTTCGGCGTTGGGTTCATTTGCATCATCAATAAGCTGTATACTGAATTTGATCTTTTAATGTCAGTGTTTTAGTACATTAAAGGGATAGTTCACCCCAAAATGAAAACTCTGTCAGTAATTACTCTCCCTCATGTTGTTCAACCCCGTAAAACTTTCGTTCATCTTCGGAACACAAATTAAGATATTTTTGATTAAATCTGAGAGCTGGATCACTCCTCCATAGGCTTCTATGGGATCGAAACTTGCCGGCCCAGAAAAGTTATTAAATAAATCGTTAAAATAGTCCGAGTGACTACAGTGGCTCAACCTTAAGTTTATCAAGCAACGAGAATACTTTTTGTGCGCAAAAAACAAACCAAAATAACGACTTTATTCAACTCTTCATTTCCTTCTCTGTGGGCCTCGAGTGAGTTCACGTAGTGTAACAGCGCAGCGCTTCTGGGTTGTTCGTCACACGCAGGCTCACTATTGGCCGACGCTGGTCATGTGTGTGATGCGTGTGACGTACAACCCAGAAGAGTTACACTACGTGAACTCACTCGAGGCCCACAGAGAAGGAAATGAAGAGTTGAATAAAGTCGTTATTTTGGTTTGTTTTTTGCGCACAAAAAGTATTCTCGTTGCTTGATAAACTTAAGGTTGAGCCACTGTAGTCACTCGGACTATTTTAACGATTTATTTAATAACTTTTCTGGGCCGGCAAGTTTCGATCCCATAGAAGCCTATGGAGGAGTGATCCAGCTCTCAGATTTAATCAAAAATATCTTAATTTGTGTTCCGAAGATGAACGAAAGTCTTACGGGGAACAACATGAGGGAGAGTAATTACTGACAGAGTTTTCATTTTGGGGTGAACGATCCCTTTAAGGCACTTTAAAGGCCATCTTTCAATTTAATTGTATAACTTAATTTATACAGAATCTTGTATGAAAATGTCAATTTAAAAAGACATGCATAAGAATACATATGTTTTACAACACCCACAGGCAGAAATTCAGGAAAAAGTGTACCTATTCTAAGCTAGGCTCAAAAAACCGCCCTTTTCCAGAGAACGCGTCATATGACGCAACGACAGGCAAACAAATAGGCGTTGCTGCCCTGGTTCTCAGTGTGGGTTAAGGGTTTACGTAGTCTGAGAGGTGGTACAGAAAATAGAGCTTGTAGTTATCGTTATAACGTTAGTTGAGTTGGTTTGAATTGTCACAATGGTGAATTCTTGTGTTTGTTTTGGATGCAACCACTCCAACTTGTCTGGTCATCGGGTCCACCGATTTCCAAACAAGAAACACAAAGATTTCCGTGCTTGGATACGTTTCGTCCAGGCAAAGAGAAGCAATTTCTCTGCCTCCTCGGTGACAAGACACACGGTGGTATGTGAAAAACACTTCACACCGGATGGGAACGGGCGGTAATGGTCAGAAATTCGGCGGGAACGGGTGGTAATGGTCAGAAATTCGGCGGGCGCGGGCGGGAACGGGTGGTAATGGTCAGAAATTCGGCGGGCGGGATCGGGTGGTAATGGCATTTATCTGCATGCCTTACACCCAGTCCACTTGACAATAAAAGATCCTTGTAACAATGACTATATTTACATGAACAGCATATTCCCGTCCTAACCGGAACACTAACTGCTTTCATACACATACTCCGCAGTACATGCAAACTCATTTACATAATGTCCGTCGGAAATACTATGGGAGTAGTATGACAGCCGGCTAAGTTCGGAAAATCTGGGATCTAAATTAAACATTTTAAGACGCATGTTGCTAGCATAGATGGTGACAATATACATGGATGCTTGAAAAACAACAAAGTCGACAGCAATATTGCTAAATACGATTTATTAAAGATACTGCAATGTGATAAACATGGAGACAACGTTAGCCACAATTAGCTAGCTATAGCCTGTGGTCACTCACCAAGACACCTGCCCAATTCTCCACCGATTCTCCTCACACCACAACTCTATCTCTCTCCTCTGTCCATTTACCCTTCCCCTTAACTCTGCCTGACCCCTCTCTCGCCTAGGTGGCTCATAATTATACGGCAATAGCCCATCGGAAGAGTTGACATGAACTCCTACTGCAACCTCTTCAATGGCTGACTCCATTACGAAGAGATGAGATTTACCGGCCGTTGCGTCACGTCCGATCAGAGCGTTTTTGACAGCGGAAGTAATTTTACTCACAATTTCTTTTAAAAAACTTTTTTAATGCACATTTATGATTAATTTCTTCACGCAAATCGAGTTCCTACACCATTTATCTACACATCTATTCACAGGGATCTTCAATGATCTAGATCAATGAGACCTACAATCAATCAGCTCCAAAATGAAATGTAAAACCAGTGCTAAAGTTGCTAAACATATATTGAATTAAATATTTGGCAATAACAAAGAATAATGAGATATTTCTAAGCAGTTTTTTGCATGGCCGGTCATTTTTGACCAGGAACACCACAGGAGTAACAAAATCAGAGGGTTCATTTATTTCAGACAAACCCTCTCCCATAATGGCATGTAAAAACACACTGAACTGTGACTGGCCGCTTCACATATTCATCAGGCGGGCTCTCGCTGTCTAACTAGCGCAGTTCTAGTCCAGAAGTCATGCTAACTGATGCTCCACTCACCTCTCCACTCTGGCATCTAAGGGCTCGTCTGGCTGAGACGCGTCCTCTGACCGCAGGCTTTTATCCTCACCTGGAGTCACATAACCTGACGCTCCGTCTTCCTCCATCGGCACAGACAGGGATTCTGGGGGACAGAAGGATCACTCACCAAAACAGCACTGAAATCGAAACATGCAAATCTCTGTCGCTTGCATCATGTTAACCTGGTAAATCAGCAGTGCGTGTCTGAAACACAGCTGAACCAGCACTAGATGCAAATCCATCTTTCCTGAAAAAACAGATGTGAGCAAACCATCATCCAGCCACCTTTCGATGGCTTTAACACGTCACCTTTAGATGTGGCAGAGCTGGAGTTAGAGGCGTCCTGAGAATCACAGACGGGCGTCTGATCGGGTCTCTCTGTGTCCGTCTCTCCACCTTCAATCTGCTCCGTGTGCATCTGTACAGAAGGGTTTGTTATTGTGCTGTGTGTGTGTATGTGTGTGTGTGTCTAACCTGACAGAAATATGGCTCAAATGTAATTCGATTAAAGGGGTGGTATAATGCCCTTGTCACAAGATGTAAAATAAGTCTTTGATGTCCCCAGAGTGTGTATGTGAAGTTTTTAGCTCAAAATACCCCACAGATATTTTTATATAGCATGTTAAAATTGTCACTTTTTGAGGGTGAGCAAAAACGCATCGTTTTTGTGTCTGTCCCTTTAAATGCAAATGAGCTGTTGCTCCCGGCACAGGGGGCGGAGCTACAACAGTTTGTGCCCTTTTAACTCACACAGACATGCACTGAAAATTTCAATGTTTATGTTCAAACCGGAGTCAGACAATAATGGAGAGACTCAAGAAGTGAAAACATGTAGAGAACATTTCTGAATGGTTAGTTGATGAATTTATGTAGCTTATGTGTAGTTATCTTCTAGTCATTGATTAGCATATTCTGTCATGATAATCTATAAATCGCATTCCCGGGGGAGGGGTTTATGTAAATTTTAGGGTTAGTGATGTCACTAACCCGGGAGGAAGCTCGTGTAGTTCCTACCAGCCGTTTGTTGTAGTCCTTAAAAAACTTCCTGTGCTTTGAACTTCGTAACTTTGCAGATGTTGTTTATGCTCAAACAGCAACATTACACACTAACTAAAGTTAGAAAAGTGAAATCATAATCAACCACCCCTTTAATACTTTATAGCTGATTCAACTTGTTTTATAATTGACAAACACTGCAACATTGATCTGATCTGAATCAACACTGAGCTGAATAATGACACTATTGTCTTTTTATAGCTGCTTCACAGTTGAATTTAAACTTCTCTCATATTTGATGACGTTTACGCCTGATATTAAGATGTGTTCGATCGGATCACAAGTAGACGACGGAGACACAATCTGTTTACACCTGGGGCCTGATGTATAAACGTTGCGTACGCATATTTCTATGCCCATTTTGTGCGTACGCAACGTTTATACATCAGGCCCCAGGTGTAAACAGATCGTGTCTCCGTCGTCTACTTGTGATCCGATCGAACACATCTTAATATCAGGCGTAAACGTCATCAAATATGAGAGATTTTCCACATTTCCGCATTTTTCCACGCACATATCGGGATTTATAAAAAATAAACTTGGCGTAAATAAGTGCGCACCACCGTAAGGATGCTCTTGACCGTGCGTACGCACTCTTTTAGAAGAGTATGTGTTTTGGCGACACCAACTGGCCCAAATAGCAATAACTAGCCTATTTAAAATGAAAAACTTCTAAATTATCCTATTACATCACCCAATAAATCAAATCGCATCAACCTGAATTATCATTATCAGCATTCTTAACCAGGTGCAAATACTATTTTTTTGTAATGAATGGGCTATAAAAAGGTATGTGCGTATATAACATATCATCATAATGGATGCTCTAGCGCTGTTAGAAGACCTTGCTAATGGCGCTCTACGGAGGGAGCGTGTTTACAGAGACCGTGAAGAGTTCCTTGCTCATGTTGATGATTGGCTCATGAGCCGATTTCGATTCCCAAGAGCCATCCTCTTGGAATTGTGTTCTGAATTACGGACAGTAACATGAAATCATTACTGAGAAGTTACAACATTTTTATATTCAATAAATATAAATATTTGTTGTGGATGCGATGCTTTTGAACACTTTTCCTCTGGCATGCTGTCTGTGTTTTAAAGGATTAGTTCACTTTTTAAAAAACTTTTGCTGATAATTTACTCACCCCCATGTCATCCAAGATGTCTATGTCTTTCTTTCTTCAGTCGAAAAGAAATTAATGTTTTATTTAATTAGCATGTTCAAATGCTCGCCTTGCGAACTCTCCTGTTCGAACTCGTTCATCAAAATGAACGAATCTTTTTTCAAGTCATTGACTCGAAAAAAGATTCGTTCATTTGTATGAACGATTCAATGACTCGAAAAAAGATTCGTTCATTTTGATGAACGAGTTCGAACAGGAGAGTTCGCAAGGCGAGCATTTGTGCCTATAAAATTTTAACTTTTTTATTTATTTTTGAAATGACCGATCGTTTCTCTAGATAAGACCCTTATTCATCGTCTGGTATCGTTTAAAGCCCTTTGAAGCTGAACTGAAACGGTCATTTAGACCTTGAACCGTTTGGCTCCCATTGAAGTGCATTATATGGAGAAAAATCCTGGAATGTTTTCATCAAAAACATTCATTTCTTTTCGACTGAAGAAAGAAAGACATGGACATCTTGGATGACATGGGGGTGAGTAAATTATCAGCAAAAGTTTTTTAAAAAGTGAACTAATCCTTTAATGTGTTAACTACATAGATAATTGCTTATCATGATAGCAGATTGTCTGAGAAAATGGTTTCGTGCAAATAATGCACAACAAAGTCTATCTGTTTCCATTAAAAATTTAAATCAATTAAAAATAAAATACTATTTGGCCAGTGGAAAAGATTTAGAAAAACTTTCTCTGTAATGCATTTTGCACTATTTTATTATATTTATTTAAAAAACAAGGGAAGGATGGGGTACTAAATGATTTTTATTAATGTAATGTGACGGCACATCCGTATTTCATATTTTCCTAATGTCTTGTACCGTTAAACATGTTATCATGTGGATGAATAATCATATGCAAATGATATGCAGATGAGGATATGCATAGTAAAACTAGGCGTTATAATCTCCATATATGGTTATTTCGGGGTGGAGACGCATGTGCGCACAATCTTCCGCTGACTGGGATTTATAAAGTGAATTCTGCGCAGGTTCTGGCGTACGCACGGTTTTATAAGTCGACATTTTTGGCTTTCGGGCGCACGTACACTTTTAGTAAGGATTCTACGCACAGTTTTATAAATGAGGCCCCAGGTGTTTAACCCTTTATTGCATAGTGTTGCCATATGGCAACAATTACTTTATCTTAATTTTCTAAAAAGCTGTGATATGAAATCTATGTTTCTACAGTTAGTTGTGAAAAGGGGGGTTTTACTTTGAAGGAAATACAATTTATGAGGTCACATAACCAGGATATCCTGTTTGCCAGTGCTTTTTGCTCATGGAAATTGACATGGAAACATCACTGTCTGGGGCTCCCCAAGATAGCCTTTTATTCCGAATTTTTAAAAGTTTTCATCAAATAAAAAATTGACATCACTATCTGGGGTAAGTAAACTTTATTTTTTTAACATTAAATTCAGTTTTGATTTTATAAATTTTTTGTAATATGCTAAAATACATTTGTTGCCATATGGCAACTACATGCAAATATGGAAACGTCCTGGTGCATTCAACCTAATGGAGTCCCATTGACTTACATGAAACTACTCTGAGACTGTTTACAACTTTTGCTTATATTTTAAAGGTAAAACATTATAATGTTTTATATTTTGTGATTTAAGCTATTTTGTAGGTTATCTGTAACATATCATCCCATTTTCTCCATAAAAGATGCATCTAAGCTACTTCTATGGGAAGTAGAAGATGCCAGAGATTGCCCATCTCCCACTGTTTGGACTTCAAAATCCAAGTGGCCTCATGCTTGTGCATGGAGAGCAAGGTGAGAAACAAGAGGAAGGGGAGACCTTCACAAGCTGTTGTGGTGCGGAAAAATAAAAGAGGGCCCCAAAGCTTTGTCCCGCCAGATCCTGTCCGCAGAGACCGCACAGACCACTGGCCCTTGCATGCATCTGAGAAGGGCAGATGCAAAATGCCAGGATGCAAGGGCATTGTGAGAAGCAAGTGCTCTAAGTGTGCAGTTTTCCTCTGCTTCACTGTAGAGAGGAACTGCTTTGTTGACTTTCACAAGGCATGAAGAGAATGAAATTCAATAAAACAGCAAAAAAATGACTGACTAAATGAAACGAATGAATACAGTGTATTTCAGTGAGACAGGTTCCAGGTTCCTGGTTATTATTACCAGACATTTCAGATAATTGTTGAAATTATATAATGTTTTTACTGTATAAATGTTTGTTTAAACATTGCACCAAGTATGAGATGGATTTGTTGAGTCTTGTTTTAAATAAAATGAGTTTTTTTTTTTAAAATGAGGATTTTATGCTACTTTCCACGATTGCATATTGTTGCCATACGGCATTGTTGCCCTTTAAACTTTTTTATTTATTATTTTTTTTTATTTATCTGTTATTTAGCTCATTTTAAGTAATAAAAACATGCAAAACATTTTTTCCCATGTCTAATTAATATTTCATGCAATAGAGGGTTAAATCCGTCTCTTTTGTCCACTTTCAACCACTTCTGTCCTGATTCTTCAAACGGAGGGTCTACGGCCGGGTAAATGAATGTATGAGTTTTTCAGATCTTTTGATCTAATAGATGTAATAAGCTCATGCAATTTACAAATGAGAACGACCGAAGACGACAGTAAAACACACGGAGAGCAGCAGCTTTAGTTTCTGCTCTGACAGCCGCAAGATCACAAACGCTGTGAGTGTGTGTTAGAAATCAGGAATGGTGAGAGAACTTTGTGATGGTATGTTTTTCGTCTTCAAACCAAATTTGGGTCTTCAGCCGGCAGTTTAAATCCCGTCTGGCTAGTGCAGAGAGCTGCACGGGTCCGATTTTGTAAATCCGCACCCGCCCGCCCCGTACCCGCAGTGCTTAAAACCGCATCCGACCCGTTTTCCGACAGCGGCACTAATTAAAATCCGCAACCCGACCCGCTTAAAATAGAACCGAGACCCGACCCGCACCCGAAATAAAATCAGTTTAGCCAATCACACACTTTTTTCAAATTTTTATTGCCTTTGGTGGCTTGCCTTAAGACAAGGACAACAGCCGAAGCGGTCAAAAAGCCGATGGCCTAAACAGAACATGGCTAACGTTACAACAAAACAATGCAATTTCGTCTAGCACATCAGACAATTTCACACCACACATAGGCCTACTTAACAGTTTTAAATTAGACAATAACAACAGTGTAGGCTATGTGATCATTTTAAATGAAAGTCCAGTTGTATACGAATCCTAAAAGTCTTGAGTTTCGATGAAGTATTGTCGACAACTTTATAATCTCCTCCACCTATTTTTTTTTCCAACTCCTCACTATCCAGAGGTGTTCCTAAAAATATGCATTTATTTTTACATTTGCACGTGACTGTTTTGAACCCGTGTTTAGACCCGTGTTTCCCCAGTGTCCGACCCGCATCCGTATCCGACACAGTTGGATATTTTTCACCCCTTTGAGCAAAATTTGCGGGTCACCCGAACCCGTGCAGGACTCTGGGCTAGTGCACTTCCCATGATGTTTACGCATTACATCAGTAGGCGGAGAGTCTTTTGTGGCTGTTCGAACACATTCGGCCACATGAGCGTTTACACTATGAAAGCAATCCAGTCAAATGTGTTTTTGACTGCCTCTGGAAGCGGTCGAAAGTGGACAAGCTCAAAACACTTTACACCTGTATTTAGTGTCGTCCACTTGTGATCCGATTGACCAAAACGCATCTTAATACCAATGTAAACAGGGCCAGTGTGACGTCACCGTCGGCCGGAGTGACTGCCAGTCAAGTCGAGTAACCTTTATTTATATAGCGCTTTTTATAATACAGATTGTTTCAAAGCAGCTTTACTGCGATTACACCCACTAAGTGGCAAAAAGACAGAGCGGCAGCATTTGTTTTCAGCGTGAATACCAAGAAAACACACAAAACACACCTGAAACGGGAAAGAGCTTTGCGATCGACTGAACAACTAGATTTGACAAGAAATCTGAGGTATATTTTTACAGACTGCCGAGAACAGAGAAGCGAATGGATTCGCTGCGATTCACAGAAACAACTGGATCCAGGCAGAGAAAGCTGGATTTGCAGTTTGCAATCATTGTGTCAATATGCTGAATTTAGGGGTAAAGTCATACCCTATATATTGTATTGTTATATATTGTATTGACAACTCATCAATTAAATATTTACCATTGTACATTCTGCATAACTGGATGTTTTTAAATTAACACAGACAAAAAACTATATGAGTTTTAGGGCTGGACGACAACATTGATATAAGTGATAATCCAGATTTAGACCTATATTGTATATATATATAAAGCGTCCACATGCAAATTTGCTTTATGTATTTCCCTGGCGTCGTAATCAAGCACATATAAATGTTAGGAAACACGACTCCTGACTGCATGTCGATATCCACTGGATCTTTGGGAAGTTGTAAGGAACACTATATCGAGTCCAACCTTTAGTTTAAACTGATAATGGTTTGTTTTACTCGTTTTTTCACAGTTTCCCCAGTTAAATCCAGTCACTCAGCAGCTCTTCTGCCACTCTGAGGGAGTGTGTTCCCGCGGAAAAGTGACGTCAATGCATTCCCTCTATAAGTCACACTCTGTTCACTGGCTAGTATACTATATGATACAACTAATCTGATGGTTAAACTATAGTTTTGCAGAACTAACAAAGGCAAATCTTCACGGTGTTCAAGTCTTTCAGTGTGCGCAGGTTCCTCACCATCATCTTTGTTTGTACATGACAGTATTTGCCGTTGTGACGTGTGTTTATTCACCTGGGTGACTTTGATGATCCTCCGCTTCAGCTCGTCCGCCGGGACGCTGCCTGCGATGACCTCCAGAGGAATGCCGTTCTCTCCTATGAAGAAACTGGAGGGGATACACACGACCGGATCTGTGCGAGCTCAGAGTTAAAGACACAGACAGATCTGGAATATCTCAGAAATCACATTTGACTAAGGCTGTGCAACGATTAATCACATCCAAAATAAGTTTGTGTTTACATAATATAAGTTTGTGTGCTGTGTATAATTATTTTGTATATATATATATATATATATAAATACACACACATGCATGTACATATTTAAGAAAAAATGTCTTATTTATATACAAAACATTTATATTTATATGTAAATTATATATAAATATATATATATACATGCATGTGTATGTATTTATATACAAAATATATATGCCTCTCTGTAGATGTGCTGTTTGTGAGCATTTCTTCCTTCAGATTGTCACAGGAAAGCCTGACTCAAAAGCTGATTGGTCATGAGTTTCTTGTTTTGTTTCTTTTTTAAGCACAGAGAGCCTTGTTCACATGTGAATCTTGTATTTGCTATTAATGTGAACTTTTTTATTGTATACAGGTGAAACTCGAAAAATTAGAATATGGTGCAAAAGTTCATTTATTTCAGTAATTCAACTTAAAAGGTGAAACTAATATATTATATAGACTCATTACATGCAAAGTGAAATATTTCAAGCATTATGATGATTATGACTTACAGTTATGAAAACCTTTTCACAATATTCTAATTTTGAATTTGGGGTTTTCATAAGCTGTAAGCCATAATCATCAACATTATAACAAATAAAGGCTTGAAATATCTCACTTTGCATGTAATGAGTCTATATAATATATTAGTTTCACCTTTTAAGTTGAATTACTGAAATAAATGAACTTATGCACGAATCACAATATTCAAATTTTTCGAGTTTCACCTGTATTTTAGTAACCATTTGAAAGCTTAAACACTCAAAATGTTTCCTGTGAAATTGGACATTACATTAGGTGTATTTATAATTTAGATGTGCCATTAAAATCCCACCGTGCGTCCACAGAAGTCCAGCAAAGGATACAGATCTGAGAGAACTGGACACATGTTTCACTGAAAGAACAAGAGAGACAGACAGAGACTGGAGTGAATCATCGAGACGACACCGGCTACGTTTACATGCACAAAATTCCGATTGATGAATCCGAACGTAGTGTTTACATAAACGCTAGGGGTGAAACAATATATCGTGTCACATTATATCATAATACAAAAATGCATCAATATATATCGTGGATAGTGACAATATGTATCGTGTATAGTTCACCCAAAATAAAAATTACAGTGTGAGAAAAAAATTCTAGTTTTCAGAGTTTTAGTGTCAGTACTACATTAAACTACTATATATAATGTTGAATATAATGTATAATAATTCGATGGGGAATATTTGTGTGTCCTGATAATGCCAAATGTCTGATGTTACCAGTAAAAAGTGGCTCACATTATTTTAAATACATCTAGTCAGAGTGCAAGTATGTGTACATTGTCCTGTGCTTTGGGTTTCCAGCACCAAGTCCAAGACTATTCATTTACACACACAATGTAATATCAAAGTTAGCATTTTAATCAACTGTACAGTTTTTGTTAACCTTTTATCATATGTCTTGGAGTATCGCAATAATATGGTATCGTGAGTTCAGTATCGTGATATGTGTCGAATCGTGAGGGTATCGTTACACCCCTAATAAACGCTAAACATGTGATCGGGTTTATGTGCGTGTTTATATGTCACAAGCTTCAAATAATTGGAATATATTTTTTGACATGCGCACACTGCACAAATATACAGAGTATCCCACTGTTTGCACATAATAACTATTCTCCTTCATTGGTTCTTTATTAGTTTTTAACAGCAGACTTAATATTTATCAATTTCTGTTTTGCGTTCTCACATTTAGCTCCTAAACTCTGGAATAGCCTTCCTGATATTGTTCGAGGCTCTGACTCGCTGTCCCAGTTTAAAACTAGATTAAAGACGCATCTTTTTAGCCAAGCATTTACATAATGCTTACCTTTTATTATACTGCTGAATCAGATCAAATGCATTTAATACTATAAAACTTGAAGAGACTGTAGGTTATCTGTATAGGTTGCATAGTATTTGCAGTCATTACGTTCCTGTGTATATTGCGTGAATGACGGGTGGTTGGGCAGATATTGTGTTGCGGTAGGTAGTATGCCATACGGAACCGTTGTCCACTGAAACTGCCTATTCACGCACCAGTGGGGCTCGACAGCCTTAGTCAACGGGTTGGCGCGTATGGTTGGGTTGCGGAGAGATTGTGAGATTGTGGTTAGGTCTCAGCAGCAGGAGGGATGTAGAGGTCAGTAGCTGGGCTGAGTTGAGTGGGGGACGGAGGGGGGTGATTTTGGGACGCAAGAGTCACTGTATTCATGTTTTGTCTTTTACGCCTGTGTTATGGAAATCATCATTATGAACAGCAGCTACGCTAATTATTTTCCCTTTGCTTTTCTGCTGTTATCTCGGGACGCGAGTCCCGAGAAAATGGCGTTCGTCAGCTCCAGTTTGTATCCAGCCTCTCACGGAGACTTCAGATGCTCCAATCACAAAGCCTATGAAGTGACGACTCAACACGGGCGATATGGACTCTCTATGGTGGACGGCACTGATCCTCAACAACTCGTCTTAAGACCGGCGTGCATACTTGGACTTCCAAAAAATACTCTAAATGTTCCGATCCAATCTGACTTGTAATGGTGCCCGAATCATGCACTGTTCTTCCGTTGGCCAGAGGAGAACTGGCCCCCCGACTGAGTCTGGTTTCTCCCAAGGTTTTTTTCTCCATTCTGTCACCTGATGGAGTTTTGGTTCCTTGCCACTGTTGCCTTGGCTTTTGGCTTGCTTAGTTGGGGACATTTAACATTTAATATTCAATAATATTATTGATCTGCCTTACTTAAGGTGGACGTTGACGCAATTTCTTTTAGAAACAAACTTTGTTATATTGTTATATTGTTTTTGTTATATTGTTTTCATGTTATCACTGTGAAGCGCTTTGATACAATCTGTATTGTAAAAAGCGCTATATAAATAAAGGTGACTTGACTTGACTTGACTTTCTGGTCGTAATTTGGAGACAGTGAGCATAAGAACCGTTGTGCCGCTGCTTATATTGATCAATTATCACGCAGTAAATTTGCCCAAAACCAGTCGTCTGTAGATGAGAGTCTGAAACCAGGACTGGTGGGACGCTGTCCTGCTCCACTTCACAGTGAAAGGAGGATTATAGGATGACGGGACACTCATTTATACGTCACTTTATTCAACAGGAAGAACAGCTTGTTCAGCTCGTCATTACTCTATTGCAGGGCTATTCAATTAGCTTCATTCGAGGGCCGGATTATTAAATCGAAAAGTTGAGGTGGGCCGGTGGGTTTAGCTTATTTATTGAAACATAACAGTATCAATAAGTAAGCAAAAAAAAGTATTGCATTTACTTGGAAATGTGGTACCCAACAGTATGCAGATTTATAAGACCATAATAAATAACTTATTTACAGCTATGTACAAATATATGAATTATACAATATCATAGCTATTGGTAAGAATTATTTTATTAATAATTGTTATAGGCTTAAATTAAAATATCCTGACAGTGAGACTTCGTAACCATAGGTAAAACCATGCATGGCTCACTCACTACCACTGTATACAAAATGCCTAAACAGGTAAAAATATACTATATATATATAAGATATATATAAGAATATACTATATATATAGATGCTATATATAAGACCTTACATGGTCTAGCCCCAACCCCACTAAGTGACTACATTAAAGTGAAAACTACGGATGGAGGCAGAAGTGTAACCAGGGCCTGCACGAGAGGTGATTGCGTGGTGCCTCACAGACGTACAGCTTTCGGACAATATGTACTATCAATTAAGGGGACAGAGATCTGGAACAAATTACCGGTTGCTGTGAGAGAAAGCCCGACCTTCCCCTGTTTTAAGAATCAACTTAAAGAATGGCTTAAAACAAATCAAATATGTGCCCACTAATGATAATTGTTTTAATTTAGATAAATAGATACGGTTCATTGTATTACTTTATAAGTGTATGTATGTATGTATACCAAACTAGATCTAGCATTTTGCAGCATCTAATAGCACTTGAAGAATTTGATATAGCACTTAATGCACTTTAAGTAGCACTTTACTATGTATGTGTATTTTGCATGTGCCCGTCATGTATGATTATGCCATATTAGATGCCCTGTTTACCAATCTGTGTCATTTCGTATAGGTTGTTGTTAATCGTTTTTTTTTTTTTTTTTTTTTTTAAATGTCGATTCATGTTTAAAATAAATGTTTAGCTGTGTTATTGGGTAATGTTTGATGACCTCACATGGGACTACAAATGTAAAATAGCCTGGGGGCTAATTTTGGCATATGTACATTGCTAAAAACTATGTTCATTCATATGCATTGTCCCTTTTAAATAAATAAATAAATAAATAAATAAAAACTATACACACAATGAACTATTCCTCTACCCCCCTAATAAATCTAATGCAATATAAATGACTATAACATAGTATTCAATATAAATATTCCCCATTTCTGCCCAAACCATGGTAAATTATTACATTTATGGTAAATGTTTGTAAGGGTGGTGATTAGGGGATTTATAGTCTTCTAACTTTGTTCATGTTTCTGCTATTTACCTCATCAGTAGTGTTGGGAATGTTAAGGCTGTTTCATCCGATTTAAAACTAGTTAAAATCATTGAGTGATTTGTGGTTTGTAACAGAGGAGTGTCCGATTGAAACGCTTCTCACTGGATGTCGCAACGCTGTTTAATAATAGTGTCCGGGACCGGGAGTAAACGCAACTCCTTTAAAGTCCCCGTGAACCGGAAGTTGCAAACGACTTTTCTCCAGTGTTGTGACGTATTTCCGAGAGAAACGGAATACTAAATGAGGCAAAATGGTGGGCGTGGCTTTTTTCCCAACTAGCACCTGATTGGATCTAGAAAAGTAGGTGTTTTCATTCAGCCTGTCTACTGTCAGTTGGAGGGGCGTGGTTACAGATGTTAAGAAGACGCCCCAACCGTGAAACCTACGTCAGGGTTAGGGGAAATTTCAGATTTTGATTAAGGGTGTATTCACACCAGGAAAGTCCGATAGTTCACTTGCTTTGGTCCGGACCAAATACATTTTTTTTTTTTTGGTACGGTTCGCTTTCACACTGCTCTTTTTGCAAGTGAACCAAAAATTTTAAACAAAACCACACGTGTGCTAAGGTCGTCCATTCATTGGACAATGATTCTCAAGTAGGGAAATCAGGAAGTGCAAAAAAGGCTCAGCATGGAGATATTTCGTACTGCAATATTTGTTATTTTACTAATTTTGTACAAACGCAATATGAAGAAACTGCGCAGAAGACGGATAAGGTATAAAGTTTTGATTCATAGAGAGGGGCTATGTTCACACATTCAAATAATGAGATTCTTATTGTATATAGGCTACTGCTAACGAGTGCTGTCAATGTTAACGCTTGCGATTAAGTTTGTCCAGTTTAATGCAGCGTCATCCTTGTATTGTAACTATCGTTACATTATATGAACTGCAAAAGCTTGTTTTGCATCTATGCGCGATTAGACTGAAGAGAACGCTCTGTATGTGAATGTCCTGATGCACACACTCATTCATTCATTCCATTCCAATGATGCACACACACGACGCGCAGAAAGTATGTGGCTGTGGCCAGACAGCGCGCCGGAATGGAATTCTCTTTCGCACTTGAACAACAATAACACAAACCATTATGCCAAAATCTCCGACTACGGAAGCCTGTTAACTCAAAGCCGCAGTGCTTTCCTGCAATTGGGTCGGTTCATGTTCACACCGTAAACGAACCGTACCAGAGTTCGTTTGGAAGCGTACCGAGACCACCTCTTCAGCTGGGTCTCGGTTCGGTTGTTTGGTCCGCACCAGAGTTCGATTGCTGTATTCACACCTGCCCAAAAGGTCCGCACCAAAGGGGGAAACGAACTAGAGTTCGATTCAATCGAACCAAACAAGGCAGGTGTGAATACACCCTAAAGATTACAAAGCCAAAAAAATTTTTGTGTGGATTGACTTGCATGGATGAATTGTTCACCACAAAACGATCAATTTAGGCAAACAAAGTAAGTATGGTCAATTTTGAATTCATGGGGACTTTAAGCTTGCGTTCCAGTCCACTGGGCCGTGCTGCCTAGTTCAAAGTAAACTAGTGAAACAACTGAAACCAGTGCTATTTGTTCTCTATTTGTTGTCACTGACCGAGAAACCGCTTCAGATGATTCAGTGACAAAACGATCTGAACGAATCCGAATCGTTTCAGACCGTTATGCAAGCGCGTTTGGCCAATTCATGGAAAGGAAATAATCGAACCAACGAATGATTAATATCGCTGGTTCAGTCGACAGAAATACGGGACACACATAATAACTGCTGAAATATTCGGACCGAAAACGTTTCTCTCAGGTCAGTCGGAGCGCTCATGGTACACACACAGTGCGTATAACCGTCCAGCTGCAGGCGCCACTGCGGCCACGCGCATATCTAACCAAATTTAGCCGCACCACCAGAAAAGAGGAGGAGGGAGGTTAGGGTGCCCTCGGGCCGGATGGAGATGGTTGGCGGGCCGCAATTGACCCTTCGCTAAGCCACGCCCGAAAACCGCCACTGGCCAATCGTGGCTTAGCAACCATAACTAGGCGCGGGAGGTCTGTCAAGCTTTCGAGCGAGGGAAACATGCCGACGCGTTGTGCGTATGGATTGTGCAAATCTGATACCCGGTATTCTAAAAGTTTGGACGGTGGGGTGGCATTTTTTCTCTTCCCGAAACCTAAAAGCCAAAGGGGAGAAATCCCGGGCGTGGATCAAGCAGTGTGGAGACCCATTCACAACTAAATGTCGACAGGATTAACAAAAAAAACGCCTTTTGCTTGGAAATAATGGCGGTTCTTTGTTCATAATGCATAAATTTGAATGTAAAATAAGACGATTAAAGGCAAGACGGAGGCTCACTGACATACTTTAAAATATGTTTCAGCATTTTGTTAATCGACGGCGGACGGCCTACTAACGTTACCCCTGTAACTTTACCCCAATCCGATCGCGGCTCTCCCGGTGTTAGATTGATGGATAAACTGTTTGATTTAAATTGATTTGATATTAGATTATTTTCACATTTCACTTACTCTGCTGTGCATGAACATAGCTGTTCAATTTGTGTGTTTCCCATTTGAATGGTCTGCTAAGGAGGCGGCTGCTGCTTGCGCTGGGACCTAACGTTATAGGCTTTAGCTTCAATTTTGATGAAATTATTCTCTAATCGGTTGCATATTATGTCGTGGATATATCCCTCGAATGCATACTGCTGTACCTTTTGTCTTGCTCTCTCAGATATTTCACTTGTTCGCCAAAAATGACTAAATATCTCCTTGGGAATGTCTGACACCGGTGCATTCACACTGTTATAGACGTGGCAGCCGCGAAAGCTTGACAGGCGTAGCAACAGTAACTAAGGAGGGCGGGGCTTAGCGAAGGGTCAATTGAATAGCCCTGCTCTATTGTATTTCTATGTCACTGCACATGCGCAGTACTTTCAGTTTCTGTTTTCAATCCGATCAAGTGTTTACATGTTCTCTCGATCAGATTAGAAAAGGAATAAACCACTCCTTTCAATCCGATCGAAATATCATTCTGATCGAGCTCAGTCGGATCGATAAAGGTGTTTACATGAAGGCTTTTCAGTCCGACTGAGCATAATGGATTATTTGGTTGCATGTAAATGTAGCCACTGATCTGATGTGTATGTGTGTGTGTGTGTGTGTGTGATTGGAGGGAATCACTGAGATGACACTGATCTGGTGTGTGTGTGTGTGTGTGTGTGTGATTGGAGGGAATCACTGAGATGACACTGATCTGATGTGTGTGTGTGTGTGTGTGTGTGTGTGTGTGTGTGTGTGTGTGTGTGTGTGTGTGTGTGTGTGTGTGTGTGTGTGTGTTTGGAGGGAATCACTGAGATGACACTGATCTGATGTGTGTGTGTGTGTGTGTGTGTGTCTGATTGGAGGGAATCACTGAGATGACACTGATCTGATGTGTGTGTGTGTGTGTGTGAGATTGGAGGGAATCACTGAGATGACACTGATCTGATGTGTGTGTGTGTGTGTGTGTTTGTGAGATTGGAGGGAATCACTGAGATGACACTGATCTGATGTGTGTGTGTGTGTGTGTGTGAGATTGGAGGGAATCACTGAGATGACACTGATCTGATGTGTGTGTGTGTGTGTGTGTGAGATTGGAGGGAATCACTGAGATGACACTGATCTGATGTGTGTGTGTGTGTGTGTGTGTGTGTGTGTGTGTGTGTGTGTGTGTGTGTGTGTGTGTGTGAGATTGGAGGGAATCACTGAGATGACACTGATCTGATTGTGTGTGTGTGTGTGTGTGTGTGTGTGTGTGTGAGATTGGAGGGAATCACTGAGATGACACTGATCTGATGTGTGTGTGTGTGTGTGTGAGATTGGAGGGAATCACTGAGATGACACTGATCTGATGTGTGTGTGTGTGTGTGTGTGTGTGTGTGTGTGTGTGTGTGTGTGTGTGTGTGTGTGTGTGTGTGTGTGAGATTGGAGGGAATCACTGAGATGACACTGATCTGATGTGTGTGTGTGTGTGTGTGTGTGTGAGATTGGAGGGAATCACTGAGATGACACTGATCTGGTGTGTGTGTGTGTGTGTGTGTGAGAGATTGGAGGGAATCACTGAGATGACACTGATCTGGTGTGTGTGTGTGTGTGTGTGTGTGTGTGTGTGTGTGTGTGTGTGTGTGTGTGTGTGTGTGTGTGTGTGTGTGTGTGTGTGAGATTGGAGGGAATCACTGAGATGACACTGATCTGGTGTGTGTGTGTGTGTGAGATTGGAGGGAATCACTGAGATGACACTGATCTGATGTGTGTGTGTGTGTGTGTGTGTGTGTGTGTGTGTGTGATTGGAGGGAATCACTGAGATGACACTGATCTGATTGTGTGTGTGTGTGTGTGTGTGTGTGTGTGATTGGAGGGAATCACTGAGATGACACTGATCTGGTGTGTGTGTGTGTGTGTGTGTGTGATTGGAGGGAATCACTGAGATGACACTGATCTGGTGTGTGTGTGTCGGTCTCACTCACCTCTGAGCGTCCACTCGTATCGCCACACAGCAGTTCTCCACCGCATCCGACACACTCTCCGTCTCCCAACTGGAGATCAGCTGAGAGGACTGATCATCACTCCCTAACAGACAGACAGATTGATAGACGGAGAGAGATAGACAGACAGATTAAATGACATCGACAAACAGACAGAAAGACATGATAGATAGATAGATAGATAGATAGATAGATAGATAGATAGATAGATAGATAGATAGATAGATAGATAGGATAAAATAGCATAGACGGACAGACAAATAGACAGACAAAACGACAGACAGAACAGAACGACAGATAGATAGACAGAATGACAGATAGATAGACAGAACGACAGATAGATAGACAGAATGACAGGCAGACAGATATTATAACACATATAGATAGATAGATAGATAGATAGATAGATAGATAGATAGATAGATAGATAGATAGATAGATAGATAGATAGATAGATAGATAGATAGATAGATAGATAGAAACACACTTGAAATCACATGATCGTCTCAGTCAGTTTGACGAAATTATCCGGTTCTGACTGGACAACAAATCAACTCACTCTGCACTGGATAAACAAAAGACGTTGTGATGGTGAAATATTATAATAATGACTCAGCTGATACGGACACGACGTGTCAATACAAGCGCATATCTGATTAATATAACGTAAAGCGCATATCTGACACATTAACCGGATCCATCTGTGTCCCCTCATCATCTGTCATCGACTAACACTGTAAAAACACAGTGAAGCAGTGTGTGTATGACGGACATGATAATGATGATGATGATAGTCAAGTACCTGTGATCACAACCACAAACACAGATTTGCGCTGTTTAGCTGACGCGATGGCCGCTGGGATTGAGCCCTCAAACCAGCGCATGATGAAGATGACTATGATGAAGATCAGTGCTGCTGCTGAGCTCCAAAAGATTCGACAACTCACAGCTGCCGGAAGCTGCGCTCAGAACACGGAAGCAATTCGATCCGAGGAACTCTGGGAAATGTCGTTTAATTGTATTTTATTCATGTCGTATGATTTATTTATTTATTATTTATTTATTTAAGAACTAAAAAAACAGGCGCGAGTAACTCCAAAATTCCAAAGACAGGAAAAAAGACGCCTAATACAGTTTCATTATATTTGACATATACCTTTATAATCTACTTTGTAATAGTCCAGATGGCTGAGCATTAAATTAATAAAAAATCTTTATACTTAATGGAAAAATTAAACAAAAACATAAAAGAATAGTAAGAATACATTTTTTAAATTTCCACACGTATCACGTGACGGTGGTACGTCATTCTAAACAGAGAGCCAAGATGGCGGCTGACAGTGATGTGAGTTTGTTTATGTCTGAATACGCATCATTATGATCTGCATCATGTCAATGTCATATGTGTCATATAAATGCACGCAGTTTTTTGACATGTGTATGCTTTATTCGGTTCTTTAACTGTCACGGGTTTCTGTTTCAGCCCGAGTCTGAAGTGTTTGAAATCACTGATTTTACCACCGCATCGGAGTGGGAGAGGTACAGAAAAAAGCATTTAAACAAATATTTCCTCAGTAATCACACGTTTCTGTAGCTTTACATGTGGTTTTATGATTAAAGTGCACTAAAATCATCTTGTGGTTGTGTGGTGAAGTCCTTACGAAAGCCCATTCTCGCCACGTAAGAATAAAGCATCATGACTTGGTAAAACATATTTATGATAATGATCAAGTCGAAATTATGAAAGAGTAAAGCATAATTATGAGATGAAAAGTCAAAATTATTAAATACTAAGTCGTTACATACTCGTTATAAAAAATGAGATTATAGTTATTGTTGACTTACAAGATCATTCAAATTTTTGATGACTTAATTAGTATGTCATAATCTAGACATTTCATTCATCTTATGAATATTGCTCACTATGTCATAATTTCAACTTGTCACGTTATAAATATGACTCAGAATGTTACAATTTCTACATTTCATCTTATAAACGACTTAAAAATAGTATTAGCCTGTATTCTAAAGCATTTATGAATTACAAACATTTAAATTCAGATTAAATTATGCATTTTCACCCTTTATGGGCAAAAAGGGATGCGACACATAACAAGTTAAATGTTGTTTCTTGTTTAAATTTGAAAGTTGACATGTTTCTCTTTGTGTAATATTGTTTAATTTATGGTCACCGTCACTATATTATTGATTGGTATTTATATGACTATTATACATGAACTAGTCATCTGTGCATTCAGCATTCATTCTATATAAATGTTCATTTTCTCCATTTTACACTGAGGTTTTGTTCTTGTGTGTCTTTGTAGATTCATATCCAGGGTTGAGGAGGTGCTCAATGACTGGAAGCTGATTGGTTGTCGTGTTGGGAAACCACCGGAAAAGGTCATTACCCATGATTACAGTTACACGAATGATTTCTGAAATGATGTACGCAGAAGTTAACAGTGTTGATGTTGACAGGGCGAATACACCAGCAGCAGCTGGGAAGAGACGTGTCTAGAGATTAACTTTGCTGATTTCAAGTTCTCCATTACACATCACTATCTGAAACAGGAGTCGGCAGAGAGTGAAGGCATAGATGAATCAGAGGAAGGTACGTTTGGCCTTTGACCTCGTCGGCTGACCTTTGACCTCTGCTGCGTGTGTTGAACGGTGTCTTCTGCTTTCAGATGCGTATCCGCTGGCCATGCAGGACCTGCTCTGCATGAACAATGACTTTCCTCCTCGAGCTCACTGTCTGGTCAGATGGTAAGAAGCTCTGTAAGATGCGTTCGATTTTACAAAGGACTTCATATTCAAATAGTGATTGAGAATCTAAAACATGATGCAGTTCAATGTTTAGTATTAGTTTATAACACAGTTTATAGACAATAAAGACTCATTCAAATCTCATTCTCCACTAATGGTGGTTTTGAGAAGACTTAAAGGGATAGTTCACCCAAAAAATGAAAATTTTGTCATCATTTATGAGTTTCTATGTTCTGCTGAACACAAAAGAAGATATTTTGAAATCTGTTGGTAATCAAACAGTTGGTGGCCTTTGACTTTCCTAGTAGGAAAAAATACTAAGTCAATGGCTACCGTCAACTGTTTGATTACCAATAGTCTTTAAAATATTTTCTTTTGTGTTCAGCAGAACATAGAAACTCATACACGTTTGGAACAACATGAGGGTGAGTAAATGTTGACAAATGTTTTCATTTTTGGGTGAACTATCCCTTTAAATGCTGCAGTTTAAGCTTATTAATTAAAATGAATTATATTTTTTTAAATCGTTGAATGAATGATTCAATGACTTCTCTTGTTCCATTACTGGAATCTCTTGAATAAATATGAATAATAATAAGCATATTTCTCAGTTCCAGTGTATTTTGGCAGTGTAATAGTCTTCTCACCAGTACGGATGTGAAAAACTAACCTGGTCCTTCCAGACTCTCGTACACATTTCATTTGTACAGAGAGTCTGGCCACTCTCCATTGACAAGCGTTAACTTCCTTGAAGGCGGGTCCTCTGTTGAAGTTTAAAACTATTGGATCTGCCCAGAGTCACTCTGGATCTGCCATAACCAATCGCTAAGGTTTGGTTGTGACGGATGTCTACAACTCAAACTAGCGCACGACATCAACCTCATCGTTCTCAGCCACTCCCTCTGTTCGCTGATTGGACCGGTAAAAAATTGACCGGAGAAAACCAAAGAATATACAGCAAACCCAGACGAAGTACCAAGGGTGTAATCCATCAGCCGGAAACTGAAGCCTCCCCGGGGGCCGCCATTAGCTAGCAAGCCTTCACCTGCTGTTAGCATTACATTGACTCCCATTCATTTTGGCGTCACTTTTTTCTAGCGAATAACGTTACATCTGAGGCGTCCAAAGACTCCATTTGTCCATTATTTATTTCTAAAGAAACACGACATTGTATAAAAGGCTCCATTACTTTGTATCTTACGTTATAGCCCCGTAGAAGCAGTTTTTTGTAAAAATAGGCTAACGATTGCGTCATAACACGCGACTCTCTGTCGCACAGTAGAGAAATTACCGTATAGACAGAAGGAGAAGCTCACGCGCAATCTTTTACTGTCTATGAGGCAATCGGGGGGACGTGGAGGCATAAAGTCAAGGGAGAAGCCCATAGATAGAGAGTTCATAAAAGCAACGGGACAAAATATTTCAACAACGGATTTGTTTCAGATTTCAATTCAGATTTCTCTTGGCACAGCTTCTAGAAGATGTACAACTGTGAGTTTCCACAAAGAGGAGTTGACTGAAGAATCCTGCCTGTATATTTGCACTGGTTCCAGGTTCACCTGAGTGTTTGCATGTAATGCGGTGTGTGTGAAGTCCTGACGCACGTCTCTGTTGTGCTGTAGGTTTGGCATGCGTGAGTTTGTGGTGATCTCTCCTGGAGCGAACTGTGAAGCCATCGTCAGCGAGTCCAAGTGTAACCTGCTTCTGAGCTCCGTGTCCATCGCTCTGGCAAACACAGGCTGGTGAGTCCCAGCATGCTCCTGGATCTCTGATGAACACGTGTTTCCTCCCACACCTGTGATCCTCACGTCGTTACTATCGTTGCTTCATTCGCCTGTAAAATCTCCTGCATATTTTTTGATGGTGAAAGACCATTTTAGTCATTTTCAAACGATTGAAAGTGTCTGGTGTTACATTACCCATAATCCTTAAAGGATTAGTTCACTTTTAAAAAAACTTTTGCTGATAATTTACTCACCCCCATGTCATCCAAGATGTCCATGTCTTTCTTTCTTCAGTCGAAAAGAAATTAAGGTTTTTGATGAAAACATTCCAGGATTTTTCTCCATATAATGCACTTTGCTGGGCACCAAACGGTTCAAGGTCCAAAAGCCAGTTTCAGTGCAACCTGCAAACTGTTCAAATGGCTTTAAACGACACCAGACGATGAATAAGGGTCTTATCAAGCGAAACGATCGCTCATTTAAAAAAGAAATAACAAAGTTTAAGTTTAATAAGCTCAAATGCCCGCCTTGCTCTGTTCTGTGTGACTCTCCTGTTCGAACTCGTTCATCAAAATGAACGAATCTTTTTCCTAGTCAATTCGTTCATTTCGTTCGTTAAATGAACCAAATGACTCGAAAAAAGATTTGTTCATTTTGATGAACGAGTTCGAACAGGAGAGTCACGAACGTGCATCACAGAACAGAGCAAGGCGAGCATTTGACATTATAAAACTTAAACTTTGTTATTTATTTTTTAAATGACCGATCGTTTCGCTTGATAAGACCCTTATTCATCGTCTGGTGTCGTTTAAAGCCCTTTGAACAGTTTGCACTGAAACTGTCTTTTGGACCTTGAACCGTTTGGTGCCCAGTAAAGTGCATTATATGGAGAAAAATCCTCGAATGTTTTCATCAAAAACATTAATTTCTTTTCGACTGAAGAAAAAAAGACATGGACATCTTGGATGACATGGGGGTGAGTAAATTATCAGCAAAAGTTTTTTTAAAAGTGAACTAATCCTTTAAATAATAATTTATTGTTATGATTTATTATTGTTATCATCAATACAATTTTTTAAAAGATCAGGGGCGATTATATGGTAAATTAGAAGGAGGTGGAAAAACGTGTCAGACTACAACTCATGCTGTGTGTGAAGAAAACGTCTCTTGTGTTGAATTTAGGGCTGTCGAATTGAACGCAACAATAACGCACAGTTAAAAAATCGTGATGGCTCAATTTGACCCTATGATTCACCCATCAGGTCTGCGTTATTTCCCTACATTTTGTAGCACCTCCATTCCAATAATCACAAATAGCTTGTGTTTTGTTACTTCTGATAAGAAACAAAAGTCTCAGCTTTCAAATTCGGTCAATTCTATCACAAATTTCAAACAATAAATGGCATTTTGACTCTCTTAAATGAAATGAAATGAAATACACTTTATTGTCCCCATGGGGAAATTTGTGTTGGACTCAAGGGTTT